AGATTCCAAAATGGAGACACACCTAGAAAGCATCCTGTGTAAAGGGTTGCTATGGACCGGATCTGAGACAAACCGTATATGCTAATACGAAGGGGGTTCCCACTAGACTTATATAAGGAAGAATGCGCAACACCAAGTTCGACTAGTTGTTTGTCAGGTCTTGTGACTGTCGCATGTTCTACGCCATTCATCATAGAACCTTACAAAGGTTCCTCGAGAAATTTAATGCAGATCCCAGTGCCTTTGTTTGGTTGTGTTTAATCTTCAGGGTACCATCCCCTGCAAGAGGATCACAAGTCTTCCCTGCCTTGACCTAAAATACAATAACATACATAATCATGGAGCAACTGGGGGCACAACATCCCAAAGGCCCCCCTGGACTATGGATCCCCCACCTGATGTATGGTCTATATGCAAGCTTTCTGGCTACTTCGTTCTCACCATCTTCTTATCTTCTTGGCATTCGTGCGTTCGCAGCCCCCGTGCTCCCCGTGCTGTAAAACACTCGTGCTTCTTCTCGTGCGGACGGAGGCACATGGACCGGACCCAATCCACGATGGTCTGGGTGGTCCTGGCTCAGCTGCGCCAAATACTTCAGCTGGCAGGTACTGAACCCAGCTGTGAAACCTGTGCAAGACCCAGCTGCTTTCATGTCGCTCACGCCACTTGGCTGCTGTCCTTCCTCCACTGTACTCACCCCTCTTCTGGCTCTCGAACCAAATCAGAGTTGGAAACCTCGGGCATTGCTGGTCCAAGCTGGGGCTTCTGAGTCGTAAACATTGGATGTCGTGGGGTCCATTGTCCCAAGTACATTCTGCAACATAACATAGCGTCCTTGTTCCTACTAGCTTCTTGTTACTAGTATCGATGGCCTCCAACCCAATAGCGACGGCCTCCACCCAATAGCGTCCTTGTTCCTGTCTTTGCAGCCCAAGCGCCCCTTCACATCAAACCTCTTCGCCAGCTCCTTCTCCTGATGGGCATGCGCACCGTGCGAGAATGTAATGCGCTCGTGTTGCGGGTGACCAAGCTGGGCGTTCGATGGATCTCGTCGATTCTTTCTTCCTGCTTGTCGAGTTGCTGAAATAAGACTTAAATAAGAATTGTGTTGGATGCTGCGGTGTTCCAAAGCAAAGCTCATGTCATGTAGATTACTGAGTGGGCCTTTTTGCTTAACAACTTGCCAAAGAGTACATGTCCACACTTGGGAAGGACACATGTAGATGCACAGTATAGACATATTACTGTATAAGCTTTGGCACTGTGGGATCTATATGCCCTAATTTGCCCAATGACAAAGTAAACGTCCAGAAGACGTATACCGTAACGTAGACCTCAAGTGGCTCAACACGCTGGTTTGAATCAATTCTCCTGGTCCATGGGTTTCTGTAGATTCTTGCTCCTAGTAGCGATGCCCTTCGCTCCTAGTAGCTTCTTGTTCCTAGTAGTAGGGCCAGGAGCCCCTAGTAGCGTCCTTGCTCCTGGCTTCCCTGCTCTGTATCACAGTCGGTGATTTCCCATCCCTCGCCTCCGTGGCATCCACTTTGGCCAGGGAGACCCCCTCAGTCTTCAGGGCTGCGGCAGCTTTCTCCTGAGTTCTGCTCCCTCTTCAGAAGTGCAGTTGTCCAAAGTCTTCTCTCTTTAACCCAAAAACTTGAAAAGAATCCAAATATGGCAGGACAAAGCACGGAATAGAAGGTACGGTATGTTGTTCTATCATGTTCGATTCTACCCGTATTTACTTCACCCACGACCCAGTTGGTCACAATCAAGTGCTGGAAAGTGCTGCATAGTTCCACCAACAGAATGTGGCATTGTGTCCAATGTGTGGGGTGTTCAGAATGAACATCCAGGGCAAGCGGATATGCGATGACATATTATATGACATGTGCTTTTGGCAGAAGCCACGGAAAAAATATAAGGTGAGTCACTTGCAAATGGATGCAAATCTCAAAAACTGTACTGTAGAATGCTGTAGACACAGAAATTGAAATGCAACAAATAAACCATCATACACCTAAACATAACATACCTAAACCATCCTAATTAAACCATCGCAAACCCTCAAGTAGATCAAGCCTGCAACAAAACACGCCTGCTTGGTTTTGAGATCCGGTTCGTTTGGAGACTGCCCCAGGCCATTTTTCAGTACTCCACTCAGACCTTCACGCGTCGACAAACAAGACCCACCCGGGTGGAGATCCAGTCGGAGCGACCAATTCGGGCGCCAGCTTCTTGCAGTGCCCACACCAGGGAGCGTAGAACTCAGCTAGCACGAATTTGGTCTCCTGCATCCAGATGCGTGAAGAAAGGCTTTGTGTGAAATGATCTTTTCATGAGGAGTCTCAGGTCCCAATGTGGCGAAATTGCCAGGCAGAAACATGCACACCACGAGAAGTGGTTTTTCCATATTCCTGGCACATCGATGATCAAGGATGTGGGGTGTTGCCAGGTATAGAGCTCATTAGTCACCTCACTAGGCCTTGAAAACCCGAATTGGTCGGATTTCCTGAGGGCTTCTTCCTCTTGGAAGGTGTTTGGGACCCGTGGACATCCTGTGGCTGCCTGCGAGGCATCACAGGCAGCCACACCAGCATGTTGTTCATCCGTAGGCCAATCAAGAAAACCACCAAGGAGCTTCCTGCGGCTTCTTGAACCCTGAGCTTTCCTCCCCGCTGCGAAGAGCACCAAAATGCGAAGAAAGCCCGACCTATCACGGCTGAAGTTGGGAGAAAGTGCCTCTAAAGAACCCAAACCGAACAGGAACCTCCTTCATTCGCCTCCTTCGCCGTATCTCACGCCGAAGCCCGTCCTGCAGGTGCTGATCGAAGTTCCTCAGGAGGCAGGAGTTGAACAGATTTTTGTCCTCGGGGGGGTCCCTCCAATACATCTCCGGACACAAGAGATTTCTATCGAGGCATCTTGTGGCAATCACTAGCTGTTCAATCCTTCCCCCTGCCCTTGGCCAAGGCTTATGAGCGAGGTCCCAACAGAATGTGTTCTCCATGAGGCTAGCTATACTCAGCAAAGGCAGTCCTCATTTGTTGCATAGGCTTGAAGGGATTTAAGGAGATGTCTCATACCCCGAAATGTCAGAATCATGTTTAGTTCCTGTCCCTTTCACGAGCAAACAATCAATAGCACACAGGAAATAAGAAAAAGAAACACTATGATACAAAATACAATATGATAATATGATCTGGGATCATGTCTGGTGCCTGATTCAGAATCTTTGGGTGGAAGCGGAAGAGCACATGAGTAAAAAATGACCAAGTATCGGAATAAAGGCCTTGGATTGTTCCCATGCCTTGGAGAAGACAAGCTGTAAACCCGACGACGCGGAGGCCGCCGTCCACCGTAATTCCCAGCGGCGCCGCGGTGAGCGTCACCACCTCTTCGCTCGCAGCGAGCACCACGGCGAGCAAGGCGACCACGGCGCCTGCGGTCGAGCGGTCGCGGTCGCGGCACCCGGTATGAGCTCAGTGTGTGATAAGCCTGACAATTAGGAATTCCTGTACAAGGGGGACGGAAGGGAAGACCGAAGGGAAGACCGAAGCTACACCGAAAACCAAAACATTGCATGACCTGATTCGGCCAGCTAAAACCAAAGGCAATTAGCTAGCCTGCTGCCGCCGGGAAAAGCTCCAAAGCGGGCCGCCAGGCCCAGAACAAGTTCGGCCTGTCAAAGCCTGGACGCCACAGGGGACACCCATGGAGGTCAACTCGCGCCGCCGCTTTGGCTGCGATCTGCATGGACTCGCCACAAGCAGAACGCAATGACTCCAACGTCCGCAGGTCGGCACCACGGCGGCCTGCTCAAGGAGTTGTCGACTCTCTGCCGCAGCCGTCGCCCCCGCCGCCACGGCGAAGGCTTCCGGGAAACGAAGAGAAAAGGACGGAAGGAACACATGCGACGGACCTCTGCACGCTGAGGAGTCCGATAGGCGGCCTAAACACCTCCTCAAACCACAAAAGGACCTGATGCACCTGACAGATCATGCTTTGGCAAGGTCTGCTCCATACCGGAAGAGACATACTGTGGATTCCTATGGCCAAGTTGTTTTGCGTGCCACTTCGGGGAGGACCATCCGCACAAGCAGAAAAAAACACGCACCACACATCCATGTGGAGCAAAAAAAAAGCGAGATTGGTGACTATAAATAGCGGTCCCCGAAGAGTATTCGTGGCATGGGGTCCAATACATTACTGTACTATACTGTACTATCATTGGGGGATCCACTTGTCTATCTTTTTGCGGGTCTAAACGGGTGTCTATATTTTATATATATATACAATGATCGGCCAGGTCGAAATTCAGCCCATCCGCCCGCCTCCAGCCATGGGGCATGGACAAGGACGGCCGATCCCAAAACTGGTGGAACTAGCAGCCACAACGTCGGCGACGGGAAGGTCTGGATGACAAGTCTCAGTGCACTCCCTGTCCCGCAACAAAAAAAAACACACATGGGCCTTCTGTGTATGAAAAACACATCAATTGCGATGATCAAACTTGATTGAACAGTATAGTATATAATGTAATTGTACTTCAATACTGCGGAAAAACATAGGAACAAAACAGTTCTCCACATCCTTAAGCGAAAAAGTTGGTCTGTTTGAGAGGGTTTTCAGCCAAGGTCGTTGGTGGTGATTTCTGGTAGGAAGGTCCCGCCTGTGGAAAGTCCGCAGGCCTAAATGAACTGGATCTTGTTGTGCAATTATCAAACACAACAATGCCTTTAGACATGTTCCTTTCTGGGCTGCGGTGAAGAGAGTGGTGCGATGAACACATGTCTCAACTGTTCATATCTGTGGCGTGTTTCTCGCACGATCAGAAGCCAACACATGAAAGCTATGGAGTCAGTTGGGCCTTTTTGCTCTCCCTCCTTAACATGTGGACCTCCTGGTACTTCATGGTCCCCCCCGCCCGGTTTGCCGCCACGACTATTCGTCACCCATCCTGACACCCTTGTAGGTCTATCTGCTCGCATGGAACTCCCTGCCTCCGCTAGCAGCTGATTGAACTCAGCCTCGGGCATTCAAAAGGCTCCCGAAACAACTAGAAACTAGAACAATAGAACTTCACAGAACTATGAATTCAATTTGGTTTGGACACATTTCCAAACATGTCCAAACCATTTTCCATCTTGAACGATTGCCACATCCCGAATCCATTCGCATGATGCCTTTTGAACGGTGAGTCGCGACATTCTTCTTGAGCCAGGTTTCACCCTCACAAGCTCAATCAACAGCAACATGCGTGTGCATTGAAAAGGTATCACGGTATCACCCAAGAATCTTGATGGCAAAAGGCTTTAATGAAACTTGAGGATCTCCCTACCAACTCCGTCGATGCGAGGATATGCCAAATGTATCCAAATGTGCCCTATGGGGACCACACAACTTGTACTAGTAGCTTCTTGCTCTCCTAGTAGCGATGTCCTTTGCTACTAGTAGCTTCTTGTTACTAGTTAGTAGTAATGCCAGGAGCTACTAGTTACTATAGTAGCGTCCTACAATGCCCTTTGTTGCAATAATTTGGGTTCGCTCTTACATGCCCGCGACGAAACTGGTATCGCTTCGGCCAACTCGCGACGGCTCTTCGCGCGTCGTGTGGCTCGGTGGACTCGAAGCTCCTGGAGCCAGTCACGAGGACTCTTCCCTCGGATGACCTCGGCTGGTCCAAACGAAACGACGTTTGCACGCGACGTCCGCGGACCTCAAGCGACGATGGATGGCCGGAAGATGGTTGGCCGGAGTGAGTTCCTGTCCGGAGCATAATGGATTGCCAACCGCCGGCGAACTTGTTCCGAAAGACTGACAGACCTGCCCTAGCTACTAGTAGCGTCCTTGCTACGAGTAGCGATGCCCTTCGCTCCTAGTAGCGATGCACTTGTTATTACTACTACTACTACTACTACTACTACTACTACTACTACTACTACTA